TGAATTTATAGAAACAGAATTTCCATACTCGTTTACTCTAGAAAATATATTTAGTAAATATGCTTTTACTCTTTTACTTTCAATGTGAAATCATAAATATTATTTTCTCCAAAGTTAAAGAATATCTTACGTTCAAGAAACCTTTTAACCAGATTCTTCAAATTTATGGAGATATAGCAAATTAAAAGGATTAGATGAAATTTTATAAGATGATTTGTTTACTAAATTTACTCAAGAGATGTTGTGAGATTAAATAAATTATCCATTAATATTGATTTTACTAACTTAATCTTTTTTCATTAAATTATTATCGTAACTTAAATGATTATTATTTAACACAGAAAAGAACACATTGCCAGACTATAGATAATAAATGAGGTCCAATAGTTATCTAATATCTTGATAAAACTTGGTAAAAACACCTTTTTTTTAACTTCATCTCCACAACTAATCAAAATCACATAGAAGAATCATTCAAACCCTCTGGTAATATATAAAGTATGTCCGATCCTAACAATGTGAAATTAACCAATCAAGTTATCTAAATACATGTGAAATTAACACAATTATTACTAGTTATTAAAATATTAAAATATATCGTTTCCTTTAATTAGCACATATTATATATATATATATATATATATATATATATATATATATATATATATATTATTACTTTATTTTATTTATATAATTGACAATTGCACATAAAAAAGTGTTTAGGTAATTTTTACAATAATATTTAGCAGCATCTTTTTAGTATTAAAAACCTTTTTAAATAGTTTCAATAATTACGAATATAATTGAAAACAAAATTGCCGCTGTTACATTTTGCAAATGAAAACAAATACAGTTAATAAAACATAATTATTCTTCATTACTTATTGTGATATATTATTTGGATGTTATCAAAAACAAAATTATTATTCCAGTAACTTTTTCATTTGCGATTTCTTATAAATATGACACGGTTTATTAGGTGGGATCTTTCCTTCTTATTCCCATTTTAATAATATAAAATTATTAAAATAAAATATTACATATAGATTGAAGATTTTTAGAGAAGGAGATTATATATTTGAAGAATAAATTTATTTACACTTATGCTTCATCTTCTTATTTACGTTGAAACGACTAAAGAGATATTTACTTCTTAAGTTCACACCGGTTAAGGTGATAATTGTAAAAGAGGAACTTACACAAAGACAGACAATCCAAAGCCAAAGATAAGCTAGTGATAAAACAATTCATAATATACTTAAACATTTCATACATGAATTATATATCACATAACACAAACCAAACATATTAAACATGACCTAGACTGAACTATTCAGATTTAGTATGGATGTCAAGTTATGGTGAATTGTGCACTTGTGGAGACTTCTACTGTTTTCCAAAGCTATTGTCAATAGGTTTCACCCTGTCACACTCACTAGGTTAGTTTGTACTGCGTCATAGGTCATACTATAAACACCTAGACTAAGACCTCATGCTACTCTCACCATATGTGTCGATCTTCTCTACTTGAGAATGAATGATCATTAGAGTGTCAGGATAACCTCCAAGACTGAGTTCCCTGCATTCATACTAATAACTCTTGAAATCACACCAAGAAGTTTCACCTTTGAAACTCATATAACTACTTTGAAACCATGAGATCACTTCAAATTCACATAGTATACCAATACATAAAACTATTGATCATACATTAAAGAACTAGAAACACTCTTACAAGTCATCAGAAATCACACAATAACACAAATTTTCTTCATAGCATGCAGGTTGATATCTACAATAGGCAAGGAAAACAACTTGGAAACCCTCATAAACAACTTCATAAGGGTCTAAAACCCCCAAAACAACCTAACGTCCAAAATTGATATATACAATGCTAAATTTGAGATTTCTAAAACCTGAAAAACCCAAAACTAATGCAGTGGGCTCAACCCCCCTAAAAGGACGCTCAGACTTTAGACTACCTAAACCCAATTCTATCATTCCATACACCAAAACAACAAACTAAAGACCTAGACAAGTTTTAAGTGACTCAATTATAGGCCTCAAACTTCTCAAACAGGTCTCAACTCCTTATTTCAAAATTTCACTACCCAAATCATCCATTTGCACTAGAAACCACTCAACCATCAATCATGGACCACCCTCTTTAGTTCCAAAACAGTTTCCACCCAAACCATGCTTCTAACAACCTTCAATTGTTCCCATAACAGGCATGAAATTCCCGTTTTCTTACACCAATACTTAATTCACCAACTCACTTAGTAAAATCCCTTTTTTTTTCTAGCCTTAAAACTCATGACTTAGTCTCTTAATACTCCAAACACATTTCAACCAATTATACATCCAATATACATTTAAAGCACACAATTCACATAAGTAAATACATTACAACGCTATTATATCAGAATTTATCCAAATCAAACAACTCAAATTCTACTAAATTGCACTAACAAAGTATAAGTAATGAACAACATATAATTCAACCATTATGATATACATGCAAGTACTAAAACTAAATAACAAACACCAATTAAAATTTAATATCTAGCTTCCCTTACCTTAGAAAGAACTCTTACGGCTCCAAGAACTCCCAACTATTGCTTCCACTGCAAGGAACTCTAGGAAAAACCTACAACTCACCAATTGGTAATAGAAATCAAACCTTAGAACCTCAAATTGACCAAAAGTCAAGGAAAAAACACTTTTGATAGATGCAAAAACATATTTCTCTGCATGATCATCCAAAAATAAAAGGAAAAAGGAATAGAAACTTATTTGCTCTAAACAAAAAATTGATTGGGTAGAAGTGGAGATTGCTCTACCATGATCTCCTAATACCTCGTTAAACAAATTATCGAGGAGTTATAAAACTCTCAAAGACATAACATAAAACTTTAGAAAAATAATTTCTAGAAAAATATACGTTTTAGAATAATTAAACTCATTTATAACAAAACTATTTATAATAAAACTATTTAATATTAAAATGAATAAAAATCACTATTTTTATACTATCACCACTTCTTAAATATCACTTTCTAGGATTTTACAACTATTAATTTTACAAAATTCCGTTAATACAGCATATAGGAGAATTACATTAATGTTCATTTTAAAAACCAAACATCTTTTTGTAAAATAATTATAAATATATTTTCATCATGATACAATTATATTATAAACTTTAAATTGCTTCAATATATTTGATTACAAATATTTACATATCACTATACATTTTCTATTTGTTTTCAGTTCAAATAATCTATTTTTATTAACAAAATTTCATCCAAAATACTCCATAAAATTAATATTTTTAAATGATTTTTTTATTTATTATAAAATTAAAGTTGGATAGACTGAAACTTTATACTCTTTGAGAAGAATTTTTTAATATTTTGTTTATATAGAATTTCAAGTATAATATTTAGTGATTTTAATTTGAATTTCTTTTATTTAATTTAGTTAAATTTTTTAACTATGTTTAGAAAAACACTTTTATTACGGATTTAAATAGATAATTAAGTTTAAATACATGATGTGTTTTGTTATGATTTTTGTTTTGCAATCAAATTAATCAACATTGTGGCTGTCAAAGTTAAAGTTTTCTATTTCTCCTTCCATCTCCTTCTACCTTTTCTTCCAATCCTCATTTCCCTCCTTCACTCTCACTCGCAACCCTCATCACTTGACGACGCCGTTTCCAAGTTTGATTGCTTGCTTCTTACGCGTTCTCTTCCTTCCAATTTCAAATTTGGGAAAAAATCATCCTGACCTTGTTAATTTGAGCATGGTCATCAATTGTTTCTGCCATTTTTCTAAAATGAACTTTGCTTTTTGTATATTGGCCAAGATTCTCAAATTGTCTAAAGTGGGAAGACGTAGAGATGCACAATATGTTTTCAAAAATCTTTAATACCATCTTGATGTTTAGTAAAGAGGGTTTACTTGATAATGTGAGTTGTCAACTTAACATTATGAACTAATTCTAACTTATTATTAAAAAAGTCTATTTTTAGAAAACTTCTTAAGTACGAGTCAAAAAAGTATCCAACTCGAAAAATTCTTTCTCAAGTGAGTTAGGATCAAAGTTAAAGTGAGTTTAATTCTAATCCTATTACAAAACTTTGTATTTCCTATATTTGCAAGTAAATTTGTCAATTTGGTCCCATTACATGGTCTAATCCTGACTCAGGTGGGTTGAGATCAGAAAAACTCACATGACCAAAAAATCCTCTATAAAAAAAAGTCCATGAAACCAAAACATCTACAAAACCCCATGAATCAGGATCAACCCATGAATTTTTTTTTAGAAAAAATATTAATTTTGAATATAAGAATTTATAACATATTAAACTATTAAATTATTACATAAATATAAAATTATAACATATTAAATTATATATTTANGTCTCTTATTTATAGTATCTAGACAAATTCACTCGAATTGGACTGAGTTTAAAATTTGTATTTGGTTTTTGTAATTGATGTAAACTAATATGGTGATGAGTGATGTTGCTGAGATATTATTTTCGACCTTTAGTGATTTCCACTTATCTGTAGTATTTTCACAAACAAGAACAAAATATTTCTATTTCCCAATTTATTAAATAAAAACCTTAATTTTCTAAAAAAGTAATAATAAAACTATCAATAAAAATATAAAAATAAACAAAACAAAAACAATCGTAATGACAATTATCATGAAATCGGTGTATTAGAGTGATAGCACAGTATGATTATTCTATTTTGTTTGGTTAACACTTTTGCAATAATGTTGGACCAACTAGTTATATGCTGACAAGAGTTAATTTGATTTTTCATTCTGTCACACACACACAATCACACACCAGAAAAAGCACTAAAATCACCACAAAGCATGAGTGTATTGTGTGATCCCAAGCACACTTTATTATTATTATTATTCTTCTTCGAAGGTATGTATATGTTACAAGAAAACATAAAAATATGAACACCTTACTCACTTTTTCTCATTGCCACAGAAAGCCATTCTGAAAGCAAACATTCCTCTGCCATGCATTATCAGCATAGAATACATATCCTGATTTTTAAACACCCACATTTCAATTTTGATGTTCTAGCTAATTAACTGAATATTTTCATCATTATATACTCTTCGAGCTATGTAAGTCCCGAGTGCCACCACAAACACTACAGCAATTGCCACTTTGATAGCATTTGTTCTGTTTCTTGTTTCTGCCCCATAGATGAAAAGCTCCCTTACTGCTTCTTTAGGCATGGCAATGAAGAGAAGGCCATGAGAAAACTTTGCACGAATTGCCTTCGTATCACTCCCTATTGAGATCTTAATTTCTTTCTGGAAACGGCACCATTTGTTATTGGTCGCATTCACAGGCCTTTCTCCATAAATTTTTAGTGTTCCCCAGTTGTCGGTTTCAACCTTAAGTTGCTCCTTTTTGAAGCCTGTAAAAATGTAACACCATAAGAGATAACTTTTGTTTTCCATTCAGACCAATCGAATCTATCTATATATAGTTTATAACAACTCTATCATATAAAGTTATATTATACTTTCCCACTTTTTATTGATTATAGATGTGAATGTTTTGGAAAAACTATTAAGTGATTCATATATAAATGAGAACACAAGTAGAAACTAAAAAAGGAAATTTAACAGATACCCTTCAAATGAATCTCAAGAATCGCTTGTCCTTCCTGTGTAAGCCATTTGCAATAAGGTTCAAAATCTTCATAGGAGCGATTAGTAGCAGCTTCAGCAGCATTGATTTCCATAGTTGTATTTTCCTTTATGGTTGAGTTGAGATTTTTCTATTGCTTGTGGAAATGGATTGAATGAATAAAAGAATTGTGATTCAGTTTCATTTTATATTTAGCTTTGGGTTGAGAATAATTCCTTTTTGGTTTGAGTAGGAATTCTATGGGATGGTGTTTGCTTCATTCCTGGTGTTGCATGGTGAGAATCAGGTGTTAAACTGTAAATGAAGGAAACCCGTGTTTTAATTTCATACCCCATCTTATTATTCTTTTTCTTTTCTTCTCATACTTTTTATCCTTTTACTACCACTCAAGAATTTTCATTTCACAAAATTTTTGTTCCAAAAGTCTTATTAACTGGCACTGGAATAACAAAAAATTATAAAATGTTAACGTGATTGACAAACAAAAGATAATGTTTGCAGCAGCAGAAATGTTAAACATTGATCTCTTCTTCTTCTTCTTCATCTGGAATTCTTAGTTATTCTTGATTTTTTTTTTCTTTTTCTTCTCTCTTAAATGCTTTAATTCTTTTTCTTCTTCGTATCTTTCTTCCTTTTTAATCCCTTTTCTTTTTGACATTTTTCTTATTTTTGAATTCTTAATTCTTTCTTTTTCTTGAGTTATTTCTTCCTCAATACATTAGAACTATTATCGAATCCTTTTTGCTTCTCGAATTCTGCCATTCTTTAACTTTTCTTTAATTTCTTTTTCTTAAAATTGAAAAAAGAATTAATGACTTAAAATTGAGTAAAAATATGTGTGTCTAGTTTTCTTCTTCTTCAAATTATAATGATGTGAAAACCACAAAAATAAAATTGAAAAGAAAATATTGATTGGTAGTTACAAAATTGAAAAAGAGAGAAAGTAAAGCTGAAATGTGAAAAGCTTGCTGTACTCCGTAGCTAAATTAATCTGGTTCTTTTCACCATTTTCTCACCGGACTACTTCACTGTCGATTATCGAGAAGTACTTAGTCTTGTAAGGTGGTTCTTGCTACTCGGATAAGAAAATAAGTTAGTGATGTTTTTGACTACTTAACTCTCGGCATCTAATAAGATGCAACATTCTAAGTTGCTTCCCCACCAGTACGACACTTGTATAGCTCTCTCACACACATTTGACACAAGTGAAAAGCTCGAGAAAAACATAATCTAACAATAGTCACCAAAACATGAGAAAATATAAACGAAACTAGCTTAACTGGCTTATCCATTAAGCAAAAGAGTAAAAAGAAACAAAGAAATGAATACACCATACTAAACAAAAATAGATACATCACACAAAAGATTGATCACTGGTACCCTTATAGTCCCACTAATAATTAAAACAAGAGAAAAAGAAAACCTAAAGCCAAAAGAGATCTTTCTTCAAATTTTAAATTGTTGACCTGCGAGGTTTTCAATTCATGATCAACTGTTTCAGTTTGTAAATGAAAAAAAAATCCACCATGCTTCTTTTGTTAACTGCTTTTAGCCACTTCCACTTCCACTTCTTCACAACCGGCTGTCAACCATACGTGAAAAATAAACGAAATTGAATCCAAACCAACCTGAACATTTGAACATCTTTTAGGTTTTTCAACGAAGATTTAACACAGATTTGACACCAATAAGTTAAGTTATCAGTCAACTTATATAAGAAACTTTACCTCTGAACAAGAAACCTTAACATAATGAGTTTACAAGTTTTCTTCCATACATATTGCCTAACTTTCTCATTTCTACTTATCGTAGTACTCAAACTCACTTGAATTTCTAACACTTCCTAACACATTCCAATAATAAAAAGTGATAAGTCACCACAAAAAAAAAATAAAATTGAAACAGACAGTGAAAGAGACAAAAAGGCCACCTTATAGTCGTAATATGAAAAGTTCAAGGTTGTCTAATTAAGATAACTTATTTATACGTTGTAATATATGTTAGAGTAAAGTCAACTCAAAACTTGATGCTATCTGCTTAATCTTTGAGTTTATCTAGTTCACGTTTATTCAAGTTTGATTCTTCATTCCAACACACCGACCAATCGATCCATAATCATACCAACCAACCCCTACTCTAATGGCTGCATCATCCACCTATGATGTGTTTCTCAGCTTCAGAAGAGGATACACAGGCGATAGTTTTGTTAGCAATCTCTACAAATCTCTCTGTAAGAGGGGAATTCACACTTTCAAGGATGATGAGATGCTTCTGAAGAGAAAGGAATCAATAGCAACGCTTCTGAATGCAATTGAAGAGTCTAGGATTGCCATTGTTGTGCTCTCTCACAACTATGCTTCTTCCTACTTCTGTTTGGATGAACTTGCCAGAATCCTTCACTGCCAGACCAAAGGACTGTTGGTTATACCGGTCTTCTATAAGGTACACCCTTCTGATGTCAGACATCAGAAAGGGAGTTATGGAGAAGCATTGACTATGAATCAGAAAAAATTCGAAGATATGGAGAAGGTGCAGAAATGGAAGATGGCTCTGCACCAGGTAGCTAACTTGTCTGGCTATCATATCGAAGACGGGTACAGCACCTTACCAATATTTATACATGAACTTTCATTGTATTGCATTAAGTTTGAGAGAAGAAATATTTGATAACCATGACAATACAAGGCTTTTAGTTTTAACTTTGTTTTGTTTGAAACAGAGTTGGATATGAATACAAGTTTATTAAGAGAATTGTTGACGATGTCTATGACAAGATTACTCGTGATTCTTTTACACATGTTTCGGATTACCCAATTGGACTACAGTCACAAGTGCTAGAAGTGAGGAAGCTTTTGGATTTTGGATCTGAGGATGGTGTTCACATGATAGGAATCCACGGGATGGGTGGGATAGGAAAATCAATACTTGCTCGAGCTGTCTACAATGATTTAATTGGTGAGAATTTTGATGGATTGTGTTTTCTTGAAAACGTGAGAGAAAAAACAAACAAACATGGGTTAAAACACCTGCAAAGCATCCTTCTATCACAGATATTAGAAGAGAAGGACATCAACTTTACAAGTACGCAGCAAGGAATTTCTAAGATAAAGTATAGGCTCAAGATGAAGAAGGTTCTCCTGGTTCTGGATGATGTTAACAAGCCGGACCAATTACAAGCAGTTGCTGGAGGATGTGACTGGTTTGGTCCTGGCAGCAGAATCATAATCACAACTCGGGACAACAAATTGTTGGAAAATCATAGAGTTACAATGACATACGAGGTGAAGGGATTGAATGACAATGATGCTCTTCAGCTGCTTAAATGGAAAGCTTTCAGAAATGAAAAGGCTGATCCAGATTATGAGTTAGCCTTGAATCGTCTTGTAACTTATGCTTCTGGCCTTCCACTGGCTTTAGAAGTAATAGGAGGCAGCTTGGTTGGAAAAAGTATAGAAGGATGGAAGACCGCTATCCAACAATATGAAATGATTCGCAAGAGGGACATCCTGAATATGCTTAAAGTAAGCTTTGATGCTTTGGAGGAAGAAGAGAAGAGTGTTTTTCTTAATATTGCCTTTTTCTTAGAAGGACACGCACTGACACTGGTGGAATATATACTTCATGCTTGTTATGATCGTAGCATGAAACATCACATTGGCATGCTGGTTGAAAGATCTCTGTTGAAGTTTGATTATTTTGATAATAGACTTAAAATGCATGACTTGCTAAGGGACATGTCTAGGATTGTCTGGAAGGAATTACAGAAAGAGCCGGGGAATAACAGTAGATTATGGTTACATAAAGATGTGATTCATGTTTCCAATAACAATGTGAGTGAGACTTCCGAATGTTTGGTTTCTTATCTTAATCTTTGTTCACTATCTATCACATTCTCACCTCATGCTTGTATTCTGCTTGTGTTGTGGCTGTTTCGAGCCTTTTTGCATTGACAGAGAATCTTTGAAAGTGAAATTAACCATCTTGTTTTCTCCATATCTGCCATACAGAGAATAGTAGGATCGTATGCAAACACCTTCAAGAGGATGAAAACCCCCGAAAAACATGATAAAAAATTTCAGTTTTTAAATCATTTTCTTCAAAGTTTGAGAGCACTGATATGGTTCAGAATTTCTTCAAATTGTTTACCATCTTCGTTGGATAACTTATTGAAGGCAAGTTTAAATAGTATATTTTTCTCATCTTCAAAATTACAAAATTAACTTCAAATTTATTCATTAGGTTCTTTTTTATTTTTCCCTTATTTTCTTTGCAGAAGTACGAGACTCTAACCGTCATGAATTTTGACGAGTGCAGAATTTTGACGCAGTTGCCTGATGTATCTAATCTCCCAAATTTGATACAACTTTCATTTAAAGGGTGTGAGAATTTAATTACAGTTCACGACTCAGTTGGTTTTCTGACTAGACTTAAAATATTGAGGGTTGTTGGTTGCAGCAAGCTTATTAGTTTTCCACCTCTCAACTTCACCTCTCTTGAAAGACTTGAAATTTCAAATTGTTCCAGTTTTAAGAACTTTCAGAGATTCACCACAGGTTTCAAAGTTTTTTTTTTCTTTGTATTTTGTTTCCGTTTCAATCATTACAAGCTACATGATTTGACACAACCTGAATATGACTAGAGTTGCGGAGATTAAAGAAAGAGATTTTAAACAAACTAGTTTGCTGACTTGACTTTATTTGGAGCTCATATCTGTCTTCTAGATCTTTTGTCAGTTCCTTTTAGATTAGAAATTGAATCATGTTGTAACTTATGCTTCTTGCCTGCCATTGTTTTGAAGAAGAATGGAAATGTGCTATAAATGAAAATGACCCTGTTGGACTGGAGTCACGTTCAGATGCATTCTGCTACGATGTGTTCCTCAGCTTCAGAGACTTGGACACACTCTATGGTTTTACGGGCTATCTCTTCAAAGCTCTTCATGACAGTGGAATCCACACTTTCATTGATGATGAAAACCTTCAGAGAGGAGAGGAAATTACACCAACAACTGTGAAAGCAATTGAAGAGTCCAGGATTGCTATCACTGTGCTTTCTATAAACTATGCTTCTTCCACCTGGTGCTTAGATGAACTTGCAACCATTCTTGACTGCCTTAAGAGAGAAAGACTGCTGGTTTTACCAGTCTTTTATTATGTGGATCCCACTCAGGTGCAATTGCAGAAAGGCAGGTTTGGAGAAGCCTTGACTAAACATGAGGAGAGGCTCAAGCATAACATGGAAAAGTCATTGAAATGGAAGATGGCTCTTCATCAAGTAGCTAACTTGTTTTTCTTTCATATCGACCATGGGTACCCCACCCTGCCACTCTTCTATTTTCAAATGAGATTACGTTTCACTCTTCTATTTTTATCAACCTTTATTTCATACAAGGCTTTAACTTTAAACTAACTAGAACTTTTCTGAAACAGGGATGGTTATGAATATGAGCTTATTGGGAAGATTGTGGAGTGGGTCTCCAAGAAGATTAATCGTGCTAATTACCCAATTGGACTAGAGTCACAAGTGCAAGAAGTAATGAAACTTTTGGATGTTGGATGTGATGGTGGTGCCCACATGATCGGGATTCATGGAACTGGCGGGATTGGAAAATCGACACTTGTTCAAGATGTTTATAATAATTTGATTTCTGAAAGGTTTGATGCTTCATGTTTTATTGAAAATGTGAGTGAAAAATCAAACAAGCATGGGTTACAATACCTCCAAAGCACCATTCTTGAGAATTTACTTGGAGAGAAGGACATCAAGTTAACTAGTGTGGAACAAGGAATTTTAATGATACAACGCAGGCTCCAGAAAAAGAAGGTTCTCTTGATTCTAGACGATGTTGACAGACAGGAGCAATTGCAGGCAGTTGTTGGAAGAGCTGATTGGTTTGGTCGTGGCAGCAGAGTCATAATCACAACACGAGATGAACAGCTCCTTGCCTCCCATGATGTTCAAATAACTTATGAGGTGAAGAAATTAAGTAACAAGGATGCTCTTGTATTGCTTAAATGGAAAGCTTTTAAAAAGCATGACTTTGATCCAAGGTATAAGGAGCTCTTGAATTGTGCAGTAACTTTTTCTGATGGCATTCCATTAGCTTTGGAAGTAATAGGTTCCAACTTGTGTGGAAAAAGTGTAGAAGAATGGAAATCTGTCATTCATCAATTAGAAAAATGTCCCGATAATCCGGTCGAAGCAATACTTAAATCAAGCTTTGATTCTTTGGAGGAAAAAGAAAGGAGTGTTTTCCTTGACCTTGCTTGTTGCTACAAAGGATATGAATTGGCAGAGGTCGAAGATATACTTCAAGCTCATTATGGTCAGAACATGAGGTGTTACATTGACTTATTGGTTGACAAATCTTTAGTTAAGCTTAGTCATGGTACAAAACCTTGTTATGACAGAGTTACATTGCATGACTTGATTGAGGACATGGGTAAAGATATTGTCCGACAGGAATCATTGATAGGGCCAGGTGAGCGTACGAGATTATGGTTACTCGAAGATGTAAGACAACTTTTAGAAAACAACAGGGTGAGTTAAATTCATGATTTGTTTGATTTATCGTTTTTGATTATCATATTTTCACATCATATTTTTTGTTTTTTCTTTTGTAGTATTTCTCCCTAAATATGTGTACTAAAGTCTTACACATTCTTGTATTGTGGTTGGTTCATGCCTTTTGCATTAACAGGGAACTAGTAAAATTGAAATCATATGTCTGGATTTCTCCATATTTGATCAAGAAGGAAAAGTAGAATGGGATGGAAAGGCCTTCCAGAATATGCAAAACCTCAAAACACTTATTATTAGACATGGTAGATTTTCCAAAGGTCCAAAATATCTCCCAGATAATATGAGAATACTTGAATGGTGGAGATATCCGTCAAATTCTTTACCATCTGATTTTCATTCAAAGGAACTTGCCATATGCAAGTTACCCTGCAGTAGTATTTCGACAATTGAGTTGACAAACTTATTGAAGGCAAGTTTAATAAGTGCATTTTCCTTATCTTGTAAATTGATAAATCCACTGTAAGATTATTCATGCAATTCTTCTTCTTTTTTCTTTGCAGAAGTCGGTGAATCTAAGAGTTTTGAAATTTTCAAATGCAAAGGTTTAACCAAGATATATAACATATCTGATAGCAAGTGTGGAGAAACTTTCATTTGAATAGTGTCAGAATTTAGTTACATGGTTAAAATAATGAGTGCTGTTGGTTGCACCAAGCTCAGAAGTATTCGACTGGTCAAGTTGACCTCTGTTTAAACCTTCATCTTTCGTGCTGTTATATCTCAATAGTTCTCCATAAGTATAAGGAAAAAACTGGAAAACATATGGGAACTCAATTTCCAGTACACTCCCATAAAAGAATTTCCATTTTCATTTCAAGATTTTACATGGCTTTCATAAACTGACTGTCAAGATTCTCCCTTGATTTTGTCAGGTTCTGGATGGAATTAGATCATATATATATATATATATATATATATATATATATATATATTCTTTTCTAATCTTTGTAACAGAATTCAAAAACTTGTGTATTGTGAACAAATCTCAATCCTTAAAGGAGTCATAGTTTATGTACTTAAAGGAGTCATGCCGTAGTCCATGGAAGATATTCATTTCATTTATCCATTAGCATGAGAAAATTGAACAATCATCTTAGCGGTATGGAATCACAAAACCATTAGCTGCTAAAGTAATAAGTTTGTAGACTAGCAAGATTCACACACGGTATTTGTTCAAGTGTATGGTGTGAAGTTCGATGGAGTTAAAGTTTATAAGTGGTAAAATTAGTGTGAAAGGTGAATTATCCTGTGTAATACTTTATCATAGTAACTCATTTTATATAAACTTATTATTTTGATCTGTATAAATTGAAGAAGAGAAGAAGTATTAGGAGCAGATTGTTCGATTGTGGCACATGATTAGTATTTTTATTAAATCCGAAATGGAAAGCCTGGATTTAATGTAAACTAGTGAAGCAGGTAAGGAATGTTGTGTCATTGAAAAATGGTGAATGGACTTATTATCAAGCTAATAGGGTAAATGGTGAGGAGAAAATGCTCAGAAAGAGAGAAGGCAAGGATACTACGAGACCAAGAAAAAAACAAGGACAACTAAAGATGGTTGCTAACCCAATTGAAAAATGTTGCTAAAATTTAATAAACAAAATATAATTGATAATCAGATGCAGCTAAGAAGGGATTATATGTTGATGATAATAGCATTGAAGAATTAGATTGTGGATGTGAGACAAAAAATGAGGCATATAAAGCGCTGAAATAGGAATCAATTAAAATTGGACTGGAAATTTAAAAGGATTTAGAAAGATTCAGACTGACTTATAATGATGCAGGGTTATCTAGATCGCTTAATGCTCATCAATTGGGTTTTGAGTCTTTAAACTTACGTTTGAGAAAGAACAAAGTTACATAACAAACGAAAAAAAGGATAAATTTCTGGTTTAAGATATGAATAGTGGCTGGATGTTTAAAAACATTTTTACTCCACATTTAACGAGCTCTAGTTATGAAAAGCTAATTATGAAATTCCTTTTTTAGTTTAAAAAGAGAGACTGGGCATTCTGATATTTAGCAGGCTTACTGACATGAGGAATTGGAACTCCACATCTCAAGTCTAAAACAAACCAGCTGTCATGCAATACAAAGACATCATCTGAAAGATAGCCATACAAGTAAACACAAAACTATTTGTGTTCCGACTCAAGAGTGAATTAGCATCATGGTAACCATTCTCCTTATACAAAATTTTCAAACATACTAAATAAAAATGCTAAAAGTAGCCAATCTAGTGTTATGGGAAGATTTAAAGATTACAGTTACAAAATTTAACTGGTTTAAGTCTTTCTCCTTCATGATAAAATTATTCATAGTAACCAGCAACCTTATGATCCTTGCATTTATAAGGAAACAATTGAGAAAAGAACAAGATGGTTTTGTGATGTGTCGATGGACACTATACTTAAGAACTTATCTATGGTACATTGCACAAGTGGGTCTCGTGTAATAAAAATTGTGGTACCTCCTATAAATAGAGGTGTCTCTCTTCTATTTTCTATGCTCTGAAAATATTTTCAAACTACACGGAAAAATGAGTACAAATTTTGTTACCAAGTGAGATCTTTGAATACCATTAACAATAAACTTTTACATGCAAACATCACCTCTAGAATATTACTATGAGCTTACAGTGAAATGTATTCTTCAAACTTGCCTTGGATAACCTACCATACTCCAATGATGTGATGCAACCATTAGGTAACTTCCCATATGGAAAGTTCTTTGGATGAAAATTAGTTGGATACCTGTGCCCCCCATTCTAGTACCTTCAAACTTTCTGGTAGATAATTTATACGTTGTGAAAAGATACCATTTCTAACAATAAGTATTTTAAGACTTTTCATATCTGTGAAAGCGTTTCCATCCCATTCTACTACTTGGACGTCGAATATGGAGAAATGCAGACAGATAATTTTGATTTCACTAGTTCCCTGTTATAGCAAAATGCACGAATCAACAACAAGTATATGTAAGACACTGAATAAAGTATTGAGAGAAATTTCCAAATTGTAAGAAAAAAGACAACTGTGATGAAAAAATTCAATAGACAGAAAAGGATGAGAGACAAAACCATTCATAAGTCACTCACTCACTCACCGATTTGTCTTTCAAAACTTGAATAATATCTTCCTGTAACCATAATCTCCTTCTCTTCCCTGCCTCTCTCGGTGATTGTTGACGGTCAATTCTTTTACCCATGTCCTCAATCAAGTCATGAAATGTGACTCTTTCATCATGACTAAACTTTATGAGAGACTTTTCAACTAGCACACCAATATGGTACTTCATGCAGTTATCATAAAGAGCACGAAGTTTCTCTTCAATCTCTGAAAATTTATACCCTTTGAAGCAACAAGCAATGTCAAGAAAAACACTCTTCTCTTCTACTCCCAATGAATCAAAGCTTACTTTAAGGATCTCTAGGATTTTATTATTAGGAATTCTTTTGTATTGTTTGATAGCAGATTCCCATTCTTGAACACTTTTTCCAAACAAGTTGGAACCTATTACTTCCAAAGCCAGTGGAATACCGGAAGCATAAGTTACTACCTGATTCAATACCTCATCGTAACTTGGATCAAATTCTTCCATTTTAAAAGCTTTAAATTTAAGCAACTTAAGAGCATCTATCTCATTCAATTCCTTCACCTCATGTGTTCTTTTAACCTCATGAGATGCTAGAAGTTGTTTGTCCCGAGTGGTGATGATGACTACGCTGCCGGGACCAAACCATTCAGGACTTCCAACAATTCCATGTAATTGCTTGTGCTTGTCTACATCATCCAGAATTAAGAGAACCTTCTTTCGCTTGAGCCTATTTTTTATTATTGAAATTCCTTGTTCCTCACTTGCTAAGTTGATTTCCTTCATTCCAAGTACCTGTGAAAGAATGATGCTTTGAAGGTGTTTTAACCCATGTTTGTTTGATTCTTCTCTTACATTTTGAAGAAAACACGAACCTTCAAATTGATGAGTAATCAAATTATAAACTCTGCGGGCAAGTGCTGATTTCCCTACACCGCCCATTCCGTGGATTCCTATCATGTTGGCACCATCATCATCTCCAACATCCAAAAGGTTTCTTATTTCTTGTGCCTGTGACTCTAGTCCAACTGGGTAATCTGCAACATGCAATCTTTCTTCAACATTACTAATAAAGCTGAAGACACGCTCAACAATCTTCTTAATAAGCTTGTGCTCATATTCTTTTCTGCTTCAAACAAAAAGTTCAACCAAGTCAAACTTAAAGCCTTGTGTTGTATCCATCAATGTCTTGACACACACGTCAACCAAAAAAATATGTTCTCTTAGAATTTCAAAGAGTCCAATCTAATGAAAAATAAAATTTAATCCAACAGAAACTACAAAGATTGGTGAAGAGGCATACCCATCCTCGAAATGAAAGCCAGAATGGTTAGCTACTTCTTTCAGCGCCTTCTTCCAATTCTTCATTTTATGGTGGAGCCCTTCCTCTAGTCTGGCCAATGCTTCTCCATAACTTCCTAGCTGGTGTCTGACATGAGAAGGAGGCACCTTGTAAAAGACAGGCAACACCAAGAGTTTTTTCCTTTTGAAGCAGTCAAGAATTATTTCAAGTTCATCTAAACAGAAGGAAGAAGAAGCATAGTTTGTAGAGAGCACAGTGATGGCAATCCTGGACTTTTCAATTGCCTCCTTGAGTTCTGGTGTTATTATCTTTCCACTCTGAATGCCCTCATCATCAATGAAAATGTGGATTCCACTGTCAAGTAGAGCTTTGTAGAGATAGCCAGTAAAACCTTGGCGTGTGTCTGAGCCTCTGAAATTGAGAAACACATCGTAGCTGTATGCTTGGGAAGATGATGTTACAGCCATAAGAAGAAAGTTTACTTATTAACACTCTTGAACCAAACTTCAATGAATATGCACTTATATATTACATAACTATGTAACATTGGAGCTATGTTTAGTTTATATATTAACACTCCTGGCCGAAACTTCAATGAATATTCGCTTATTTATTACATGACTATGTAACAAGCTGGAGCCGTGCTTAGTTTAGTTATTAACACTATCTTGGAGAAAACTTCAATAAATATTCACTTATTTATTACATAACTATGTAACATTGGAGCCATGTTTAGTTTAAAAAATAATTCCCACCTTCCTGAGTTAATGGTCCAATGTCAAGATCCTGCAAGGACGGAGTTTTCAAGAATACATTCACAAATCCCTTATGTTATGACTATTATAAGATTATTGTATTATGAAAAATGAAAATGAACAATAATGATTTTTTGATAAGATAATAGTTTATTGAAATTAAAACCATTTCACTTTAATATCTAAAAGCACAACAACTAAAAATTACAGCAAAAATATACTTATACTTTATTTATTTATTCTGTTTTTATTAATACGGAAAAGAATATGAATTAATCATTTATATTTGACTTCCCTTTTTTGTTAACTTGGTTTCATTGTTTTCATTACAA